GAGATAATTTTCCTTACATTATTTTATTTTATCTCCAATTCTTTGAAGACTCTGGAAGTGACCCTCAGCCAAAAGCTGTTTGGTTTGCTATTCTGCACAACAAACCTTTTTTTTTTTTTTTTTTTTTTTTGGTGGGATATGGACCGGGACCCCGGCCGGGCGTCCCGGGCAGGTCCCGTCCCAGCTTTGGGGACCCAGGCGGCACGGCTGGTAGCCCAGCCCGTTGGGCATTTTCTTTTTTTTTTGCTTTCCCCTCTGACACCAGTGCCAGGCCCTGTAAATATGACACCCGGTCTGACACCACGGCCGTCGGTACTTCCGTTGCCTTTTCGAACTCGGTGTGGTTTTCTTTGCCAGCACGTGTTTTATTTGCCCTTTCGATACTCAAAGGTGACGCAAACGTACTTACCCCAAAAATAAAATGAAAGAGGTTATAGAATGCCTGGCTCACTGGTTGTATCTCAGGCCTGGGTGTATCTCAGGCAAAGACGTACTTACCCCAAAAATAAAATAAAAGAGGTTATAGAAAAATGCCTGGCTCACTGGGTGTATCTCAGGCCTGGGTGTATCTCAGGCAAAAAGGAAAAGCAGGGATGAATCAAAGTACTTTTGCAGTTTCCACTCGAACCAACCACCCGTACTTCCAAGGGTCTGGTTAGACACTCCTAAAGGATTCCTAAAGGATTTAGGACGAGTCCTAAAAGAATTTTAGGAATCGGTGCGGCGTGGTTACACGCGTTCCTAAAGAAAAGCTTGTAGGACTGGTCCTAAAGGGTATCCCGTTGCCCATTTTCATATACGTATACGTAGCCGCGCGTACGATGTCCGCCCATTCCAGCCTCGTGTTCGTGGTACACAGCGCGGTGGACATGACGGGGAGGTGAAAAGCGAGTGGACGCAGGCGTTCAAAATTTCGAATTCAAATTTTCGCAGACGTAGGGCGGCGGGCAGGAGGACAGCCATCGGACATGTATGACGTACAAAAGACGGCGGTGCTGATCCCCCGCATGTAGACAGCCTTCTTTCGGCGGCGCTCGTCGTCATCTGTGCCGTGTGTACTGTTGTCCAGCAGGGAACAGACTTCTCCTGTGATGTCGAGATCAGGCGTTACGTGCGGTACTCCGACAGGCGATGGAGATGGACCTTCACGGTGGCGACCATGTGCTGTGTGAAGAAGAGTGTGAAGCTGTGGCGTTGGCGGTGACGGCCGTTGTCATGAACACGATGAGCGACACGTCGTCGACAGACCGGTGAATGCGTCTGCAGGGGGGCACTGGTCCCGCCGCGCGAGTCGTCGTCCTCGTCCGCGTTTCCAATCGAAGCCAACGGTCGACTACGGACGAGAGGGCACCCCCGCTTGCCCTCCACAGTCCACTTCGCCCGCCAACGGCTACCGGTGATGGCCGTTGCCTTCATCGGGCCACCTGAGGCCTCCAATGTCCGAACCCTGGCCTGACGGACAGCTTCTGCGCCACGGAGTCTGAGACAATGGTGCCATGCGCACGTCGCCAAGACTCCGTGAAATGCGGGTTCCTAAAAATTTTAGATGCTCGGGAGGAGGTAAATTTTTTAGGAACTTTTGTCAGGGGATTCCTAAATCCTTTAGGACTAGTCCTAATGCCGTTTTCACATTTTCATTTGCCAACTCGTATTTAGGAATGTGTGTAACCACACTGCATTCCTAAAAAACGGCATTTTTAGGAGTGTCTAACGAGACCCCAAGCCTGTTAAACTTTTTCTTTTTTGTTCGACACAGACTTCTGCCACGCAACACGTTTTGTTGAGCCTGAAAGACAGTGAGATGAAGTAGCGATACTATACACGCTCAATGAGTGTCAGTGGTAGGCTAGTGTCTGTTTTGCGCACGATAGCGCATGCTCACACTCACCCATAGACACAGACTCGGCTCACCACAGCAGGTCACTTTACACACGCAGAAGTGATAAAAGTAACAGCCAGTCATAGTTTGCTTCTGGTTGCATCACGTAGAGTCCGAAGTTGGGCGCCAGGCGCCATCGAAAAAAAAAAACGAAAAGAAGGGCGACCTTGGATACATCGTTTGTGCAGGCCAGATTGGGCTGACATTGACAATTGACTTCATGGCTTTGCTCTTCCAAAAAAAAGAAAAAAGAAAGAAAAACCGAGAGAAGTATCAAGAAGCTCCTGGTGCCTATGCACACTTTGGCATGTGAACACTTTCAGCACGATCGAAAGTTGACATCTCCTAAAAAAAAAAAAAAAAAAAAAAAAAAAA